CCCGAGACGTGACACTTGAATATAAAGTATGCGTTTATGATTGTCTGATTTCTTGCGGCACTGGCCCCACGCGTACTGAATGACAGTCCTCTTGCTTACGTTCTGCTATTTCCTTTGGGCTTTTCGGAAAACGTGGAGGGGAGGGCAGGGTCGGTGGTACTGGGACCCGTCCGCCAAATTGATCTACGGAAGGGCGCGGTTACCGTTCTAGCCGGCCCATCCGCCTCTGAATGGAAAAAAAGTGCCTGCCTCTCCGAAGGTCTAGAGTCCCCTAATGCCGGTCAGTCACTGTCGGGCCCGCTTCCGCCCATTTCCACAACGAAATTCGAATGTTCCTCCGTTTACGAAACCCCCCTCCCTACGCAGGTATTGAGTTATGTATTTATGTATTTATGTATAAGTATAAGTAATTCGGACCCTATAAACATGTCCGATCTCATCCAGCTCCGGGTGTTATTTTAAGGGGATCGGCGTGTGGCGTTTGACGAGGGCACGGATAAATGTCGCATCGGGATTTCGGGAGGGTGCTCATTTTGAATTTGGGGATGGTCAGGGTCGGAGATGATATGGGTAGGAGAGGTTGTCGATATAGAGTGTATGTTGTAGAGGCTTTTAATATCCCTCTTAGCTCAGTTGGTAGAGTGCGTCACTAGTATAGCCGTATAAGAAGACATGTTATGATGAGGTCAGTCGTTCAAGTCGGATAGAGGGAATGCTACAGACCCAGACGATTTTTTTCGGTATTCAGTGCTGAGTTAGTTTAACAGTGTAGCATTCTTTGACCGCGCATAATAGTGTACTAGAGACAGGTTCTTTTTGTACTTGGTGAAGGAAAAGACGTCACTGCTTTATATCAATGCAAAAAAATATCAGACTTTGTTATTTCGTGATGGCTCGCATACAACAGAATTCGAAGCTCGGTGTTATGTGTACTTGGTATAGAGTAACGGAGGAAGAGGACGTCACTAGCCGAGCCTATGTTCAGCCTCCACGCTAAACGCCTTGCCGTTCTATCTGTCACCAAGAGCCTGTTGTCGTAAATCACCTACCATGCAGATAATCGGTGCTTGCTCGTGGCGCCGGTATGCAACAGGAAGAGTGGCGGATTCGAGGATAAGGAAGCGAGGCGAGGGTGCGATGCATATCATTTTTCTTCTCGATCCTTGATCCGGTGTGAACAGGGAACGGCTGGCGAGTGATAGAGCCTCGTCGTTCTATCTGTCCCTAAGAATTCATTGTCGTAAGTCATCTAGCGTGCAGATAATCGGACCTTGCTCGGTGAAGGTGCGATGTGTATCATTTCTGCTCGAGCTAACGTCCAGCCCTCAAAGTCTCGCCTGTCGCCAAGAAAATCTTATCGTAAATCGTCTACGACGTAGACAATGAGCGGCGCCTGGTTAGTGGCGGGTTCGAAGACTAGATGGCTTGTAACAATGAAGCGAAGGTCAATCTGCTTCACGTGTCAGGTCTACCGTCAAAGACTACAGTTAGTGGCGCTTCGGAGTAAGAAAAAAAAACACAAGTAGAGTGGAAATGAACGTGGGCTGGAAGGGAAATGATTGTTGCCAGGATCTCGACCGCTCGAATGGAGGAGGGGAGAGGTGGGGTTCTTCTGGGTGAACGTAATGATATACGAGCCGGGAGATGTGATTTTGCGAGAGAAGGAAGGGGGTTGGCGTTTGTGGACGGGGCTATCGGATGCGAACGATGAAGAGTTGTATGTGGCTTTTTTTCTGAGTACAACGTAACGACTTGGAGGCGCCCCCTTGAACGTAAGATATTCGGGAAAGGGCGAGGAGAGACAAGCAGGGAAGGAAGGAGAGAGGGGGGACGTAAGGGTTGGGCGTTTAAGGAAGACGCGCGCGTGGTGGTGGGTGGTCTGGTGTGATGCTGGAGGATTACCACGGGTGTAACGGAGCCGATGTCTGGTGTGGTCATGAGCCATGACGGTGCCGCAATGAGGAGGGAAGGGGCGAGGCTCCGCATAGGATGGGATAGAGAGAGCGAGATGGGGGCAGAAGGATTTAGCGTAACGCCCGGGGATAAGGTAGACCGAGTAAAAAAGAAAAGGCTAGGGCAGGGCAGGGAAGAAAGACTGGGAAATGAAGAGGGGGGTACGTTCGTTGGTCTGGACTCTGGAGGAAAATACAAATGAGAGGAAGAGCGAATAAGGGAGATGGGAAAGGAAGGGGAGGTAGTGGGTGGGAGCCAATGGGGAGACGGGGATGGACGGGCCAATGAAGAAGGGGGGAGACAAAGAGCCAATGGGAGGGACGACCGAAAAGAGAGGTATTCTCCCGCGGCATATATGTCGTGCATGCATAATCAGTGCGGCTTCCGTATCTCGACGCGTCCGAACTGGAGGTTTCCGATGATGGGTTACCCGAAAGCAGGGCGTGAAGGGAGTGTTTGATCCATGTGGAATTGATTTTTTTTTCCTTGCTAGATGGACGAGAATGATCACGCGTCGAGTGAGTGAATGACGTCGGTGGAGATAGGGTAGAGGCGAGAAGAAGAAGGTCGCAAGGCGGGAAGAGAGTCGACGGTCGGACGCGAACTCTGAATTGCGCGCGCTCTTGGGAGGGTTATGTAAACACCCGACGATATCATTGCGGGGTAACGGCATCCCGGGAACTGCAACCATCAACAAACAAAGCAGAAAAGGGATTTCTGTTGATGATTCCTAGTTGAGAGTGGGAAACAGGACTGGGCGAAGCTAGGGAGGTGTGACGAAAATGGGTTTATTGCGGGGCGGGGCGAGGGAAGGAAAGCGCCGGGCTGGGCGGAGATTCAGATCAGACGGCCGGGGGTTACTACGAGTCGAGGGTACAATGTAAGTAATTCGAAGATCACACGCACGGGACCAGGGGGAGGGAGGGGGCGCAAAAAATAATTAGTGGGTAAAGATATGGGGGACACGTTGATGGATTGATCCCAGTGCTCCGGTCATTGACTGAGATCGAAAAGACAAATGAGATCCGAAATCGTCGAACCCGATCGCCGGGAGCAATAAGACCGCCACCGAGATGTATTTGAGCATGTTTGGACGCGGCATGTCGGCAGTGCAATACATACCCAAGGGCTCAGAGGGCGACAAACTTCCCACCTCGTACCGCACCACCACCTTCAGACCTCGCCCCCTCGCCATGGGACGCCGAAAGATTGAGATACAGCCGATTACTGTGAGTTTGCTCGATGCTGGGCCCTCTTGTGGGCGACGGTTGGATCTTGGGGCGCTGATGGGTTTTCTTTGGGTGCGGGTGTAGCATGAACGCAACCGGTCGGTGACTTTTCTAAAGGTACGTCTTTGTGGTCCCGCCGTCCCTCCTTCCCCCAGGCGTCCCAGCGCCATCCTCTGGCCCTCCCATCTTTCTTTATCCCAACGGTCGCTGCTATTTTTGTCCCGACACGAGACTAATAAAGTTCTTGGCATTTCACTCTTTTTTTATTTTTGGCTCGCATCTGTGTGCGACTCGCAGAGGAAGAACGGGCTGTTCAAAAAAGCGTACGAGCTGGGTGTGCTGTGCAGTGTGGATGTTGCTGTGATCATCTTTGGTGCGTGTTCGAGCCTGGGGCTGCCAAGAGCACTCGGCTGACGCTCGTCTATTTTTAGAGGAACGCCCGGGGCATCATCTGAAGCTGTATGAATACTGCTCGGGCGACACGAGGGATATTGTGCAGAGGCATTTGCGCGTAAGAGCTGGTCTTTTCCTCCGGGTTGCTATAGGGGTCACTGACGACGGCCTGTGCAGTACGAGGGCGAGAAGGATACGCGTGGGCCAGGCGACTTTTCTGGCGCGGTGAAGATCATCGACGAAGAGGAGGAGGAGGAGGAGGAGGAAGTCGTGTCGTCGGTGCCGTCAAAACGCAGGGGCAGCGGGCGGCTGAGACCCGTCGGCGCGGCGGACCTGGGCGAGGTGAGTCAGCGATCCACTCTGCTTTCCGGCGTCGAGCTCGACGATGGCGGCCACGTTTGCTCGCTGTTGGCCGCGCTGTCGCCATGCCAGCCACGCCCCCATCTTGGCTTCCGTTATCCTGCTCTCGTCACTAACCCACTCCTTCTCCCGACAGCTCGACTATCCCCACCAGCAGCACCACCCGTCCCACCACTCCCACATCCCGCCGCCCCCGCCCCGTACCATGGCTATACAGCCGCCGCCCATCCCCCAGACACCCATCCAGCAGCCATCCTCGTCCTCCATCCCCATCTCGTCCCTCCGACACCCCCCATCCCAACCCGAATCCCCACAAGAAGCAACGTCTCTCCCCGCCCAGCGTGTCCGGACCTGGTATGCACAGCCGCTCCTCCTCTGGCTCCGGGTCCGGTGGTGGCGGGGGAGGTGCCGGAGGAGGCGGCGCAGGCCAAGGCGGCTTCTACCCCCCACCCTCCACGCAGTACCACCATGCGCCCTTTTACAGTGGCGGAGGCGGCGGCGGTGGAGGAGGTGGTGGGGGAGCAGGCGGTGGAGGCAACTTCTCCACGCCTGCCCAATTCGGAGGCGAGAGGCGATACGCGGGCTACCCACTTAGTGCACCCATGTCCCGTGGGGGTACTGAGATCTTTGGCCTGTTTGACGACCATGGCAGGCCCGGCTCGTCCAGTGGTACGGCAGGAGCAGGCGGAGGCGCGGGAGGCTTTGATTGGCCGATACATGCTCCGACGAACGCCCAAGCGGGTGCTGCCCCGACACATAGTCCAACTCAAGGCAGAGTCGACGGCGCGTGGCTGGATTTTTTAAGCACGAGTAACGGAGGTCCTGGTGGGAGCAGACCGTCCACAAGTTGGGAACGTGATACTGGGGCTGGAGGTGATGAAGGGGGAGTCGTCGAGAAAGAAGAAGGGTAGCAGCTACGTTGATTGATATACACGATTACTTGGACCGTCCTTTTTCTTGTTCGTTCGCCTACGTTTTGTTTCTTTCGTTGGAGTAAAAGTAACGATGTTATTTTAAATGTAGTTTTTTTATAGAGAGTTTTATTGTGGGCGCGCACAAAAAGCTTGCCTCCTAGCCGACTTGAACGACTGACCTTGTCATAAACGTTTTTTTATGAATGTGGGATACGAGTGACACGCTCTACCACTGAGCTAAGAAGGCTTCAAACTTAGCTTTTTTATACGCATATAATGTTGCTTCCATTGCGACGAAAGATCATTAGAACATGATTCTCAACTCACATCGCCGATCTTTCAACTCTGCGATGCGATCGATCGCATTTCAAGAGCTAATTGTAAATTTACTGCCTCCGCCCTCCGTACATCGCTCCTGCCGTTACACCGGTCAATTTCACTCCGTCTTTTCAATTCCAGCGAAGCACACGTACACCTCCACGTACGTCAGGTTTTGAGTTCTTCGAGAAGACAGACGCTGGTTGAATATCGTCCAGTAATTTGCAAATCAAAACCGAGTAAACTCATTGACTTTCTTAATTCTCTGGGCTTTGGTCCTTGGATCCGTATCAAAATTCAAAGGCTTTTATCCCACAAGGCAGACATGAAAAAAAGAGTGTTACCATAGCAGTAGTTCCCTCTAGCCGACTTGAACGACTGACCTCGTCATCACATGTCTTCTTCTATAAATACTAGTGACGCGCTCTACCAACTGAGCTAAGGGGGACAATGACTGCGTGGTCGTTGTTGCATATAAGTATCCATATCTAAATAAACGGTACCGTCTTACTCCTTCGCTCGGCTGCGTCAATGCACGTTCTCAGTTCCCCGGAGGTAAACACATGAGTATAAATGACAGAAGATCCAGAAGGGCTTTAGCAGGGGATATAATAAAACCGAGCTTGCCCTTGGAAAGCCGCTACGACAGCATCGCAAACCTTGTCATTTAGAAGATAAGGAAAACTATGACAAGGAGATTTTTACTGGCTTCTGGAAATTTAATGTGGGTGAGTAGATTCTCCGTGCATAGGTTTGGAACTTCTGGATTGGCTATGAAGCTGAACACTGAAGCTTCGAAGACATATGAAAGTGGAGTTAGGAACGTTCGACTAGTATCCAAGTATTCCTTGTGTCAACAATGACTAGAAGACAGAGGGTATGAAACGGGGGTCTCTGTACCTACGAAAGAATCAGAAAGTCTAGATGCGGAAAACTATGACAAGAAGACTTTCACCGGCTTCTAGAAATTTAACGTGGGTGAGCAGATCTTCCATCCTTAGGACTGACGCGACTGGGATTGGCCACGAACTTGAACGTTGAAGCTTCGAGACCATATGCCCAGGAACTCGTTATTTCGAACGGACGTGCGCGTCTTCGAATCTTCTTTCTTCAATGATCGCCGAACTTTGAATCAAAGGGTCCAAAGCATGGTACTTCGACTTGTGAATGTCGTATCCAAGTATTCCTTGTGTCAAAAGCTAGAACTTAGAAGACAGAGGGCATGAAACGGGGGTCCCCTACCGGTGACTTCGCGAACTCGGACGTGCGCCACGGTGAAATCCCATGAAACCGCCCGAGACCCGCTTCGGTAACTAAATGGTGACGATGCATCATTTCTTGACACGGCTTTGTCGCCACTGGACGCGCTATGGCTTCTATCTGCGGGACTTGTTGTTACGGCCACAATTGAGGATGGAACGCAGCAGCCTCAAGGCGTACTAGCTCAATCCAAGCTGGAGGGCTCACTGAATAGCGGGCGCCCCGGACATGGGGGGGCAGTCCACACAGTTCTCCGATTCTAGATTCGTAGTCGTGGAGGGAGTAAATAACAGAGCGAACAGAAGAGATGGGTAAATTCTCTATTGTGTCTCCCCCCGGATCATGACGATTGTGTTTGGCCTGGGAATCAATTTAATCGTGGTGGTGTGGGGGTTAGTACCGCGAGCGGCGTCAGGATGTGTGAACGCCTCCACTCTTGGCCCCGCGATCGCGATCAGAGAAGGCCCTGGTGGCTTGGAAGTGTTGTGGCGGGAGCATTTTGCGTGCTGGTCGAGAGCCGGGAACATGGACGTGTGGGGGTCGCAGCACGAGTGTCCCGCTCCTGCTATGAAGCTTATCGGTGTACCGCGGGCAATGTGCGACCTTTCTGTGGGCGCTCATAGTCACCAGTTTGAGTAGATACTGCCGAAGATGCGGTAGTGAGCCTCGTCTCTAGCTAGCTAGAGTAGTGTAATAGAGTACGGGCACCAACGGCACCTAGAAACCCGTAGGCATTCATGACCAAAAAAAAAGACGCGTGGGACAGCGCAGTAGACAGCGACCGCGATTGTAATTGTAATAGAGTTGTTTGCGTAAATGAACGGGGGCGAATGACCAACCTTTTCGATGTCATACTGTTGAAAAGGTACGGCCAGAGCAATAAAGTATGCCAAGGCTCCCACTGTTAGCACCAAGGGGATGTCGCCTCTCTTCAGAATAGGACTACGAGATTGACTCTGAATCACAAATAAGCCGAGTCTGTTTGCGTGCGTCCGAGTAAGCCGCTCGCTGGTGATTGGATACAGAAAGATGTAGCCAATGAGAATTAAGCAGCGATGATGAGCAAATAGCGCAGCGTGCAGGTCAGTTTAAGGTTTATTTCGGCTTCAGTTTCTGCAAATGTCATACTTATATGCAATAGCATATGAATTGGCTCTTTCCACGCTTTCTGCGTAGTGACTGAGGGTGGTAAGAATTCTGAGGTGGTCGTTTGCGATCAACCAGATATCGGACCGAGGCATCTCGGAACTACCCGGAGGACTAAAATTAGGTTACTTGCTATACTTCGCTTCGACCAACGCGACGGGACGATGCCTGTCTCGAATCTGTTGCATATTCCGTGTATGTGCGCCTTGGCCAAATTATGCAAAAAGCTCATATTCTGCACCTAAAAGTCCTATCGACTGGGAAGTGGGGGTGGACTTTTTTAAGCCACCCTTCGTAAGATTCCTTCAGTCTCTCGACACGATTGTCCTCATATTGATTGTTCATGAGTTACCTTCCGTCGGGCGCCTGATACTTGTCAGTTGTCGCTCGCTTTGCATCACCCGAGTTGCTAGGATGTCATCCTGGACCCTGTGTAAATTGGCCAAGCCAGCGTCGTACCCCTCCGATGATGATGGTTCATTATCCCTCTACTTTCTCCTTCTGGACGTTTCATAAAGAGCCTTGTGTTCACGCACACCCTGCGGACGCTGTGTAAATTTTCCCCATACCCATTCCGAGCTGGTACTTATCACGTACTCAATGGACCGCAGCCTTCCCGATCTCTCCTTTCTCACATCATATTGCATTATTGAGTCTACGTCCCCGCTGTCCTTCGCTCAGCCAGATGCTTGTTAACATGGTCGTACGTACTACTACCCGCGCTTCCTGATTCTGACAGACTTTCTAGTACTGCCGAAAGCCTTCTGCTGTAAGGAGATTTCGAGCTAGGCTCGTCTCAGCCTCATATTACCGAAGGTCATGACGCAGATGAGGTACCCTAATTTCATAGTACGGATACCCTCAAACACATGACAAAGGCGCCAAGACGATCCTCATCTGGCTCGCCCATACTCCGACCTGTTTCATGTGCTTGATTCCCTACGACCGTATCACTTCGCCATATTTCTGGTTCTCGGGTGTGAAATAAAAACACCTCACCGGAGAGGGTTTCCCGCTGTGTCTTTCGACTGCAGCTCTCAACAAAAAGTGAATCGGAATCGAGTGTATTGGTTAAATAGAATATGTTGAAGGCCACAGCATAGGTGCGCCTCACCATGGTTATTGTGACTTCTCAATAGTCCTACGTACTTTGTATTGAATGCCGGCGTAATTCTATTCGACCGGCGGCGATTCTCATATCCGGAGCTGTGTGTACACAACGATCCAGATATGTCTTCTTTGAACTTGCTGTAGTTTCATCTCAGCGGCTGACCCGCAATTGGCAGAATAATTCAGTAGGAACTCACAGGCGACCGTCGGAGTGGGTGTATTCCATCGGACATCTTTCTTCTCCTACAGATGGAGACCATTTCGTGGGATGATAATCTCATGCCATGGGGTGAATCAACGAGAAGCGGAAAATGAAGAAGTCGATAAGTGGTGCGTAACGACGCTATTGAGTGGAGCTTCGTAGACCGCGGACTAGGGCGGGAATATCAAATGCTTCCATCGAGTGCGAGATCAGCGAGGAGCGGCGCCAGACCATACCATCCCAGGGAACAATGCATGCTCCGTCAAAGCATGTAGACGCACAACCACACTCCGCTCGATCAAGAAGACATTGAAAAGAGAGATTGAATCGGCATAGCCTCATCCTCGGAGATGGGAGCTGGGAACGAATTCAATGCAGGAGAAATCCGAGGCGGCATGTCGTAGTCGCCAGTGCCGACATCGACTCAGGTGGACAAAGAAACACATATACCAAATAGATTGTGCTTCACAGCCATGCAAACCTTGTTTAAGGAGAGATTCCGATTCGGTTCCAGGAAAGGCTTGCACGCCGGGATCTTCGGTTTATGGGACATAATTGCTGCTAATGATAAGAGTCTAATCCCGGAGCGCAACTGAGACGCAACTGTACGACTAAACTGGGTCAGAACCGTATCCAAAATCAGGCGGTGTGATCAATCTTTACCTTTAGGAAATTTCAACGAAAATTCCAAGAAATTCCGAAAAGGAAAATAGTGTACACAACGGACTACAATACTCATGATTCGGGAGACAAGATTCAGCCCGTAAATTGGTGTCTTTGTCCAGAAGACAACTACATAGTCGTAGCATATGTCCAATAGACGGATACCCTGTCACCGGATCCATATACTGTATTAGAGAATGACCCTAACTACCGAGACCCCCTACGACAGGACAAGTAGACCGCGTAATTTTGATGCTGTAGTTCCGTTTATAGCACCACATTGAAGAATGTAACATCTTGAAATTACCGCCGAGAAAACCCATATAGCATATCCTTGATGTTACCAAATAACACGCTAAATCCCGTGTCATGATCCACAAATAATTCGCCTTCGTCATTCGCGAGTTTCATTCTTCCTGTGTTAAATCTTTACGCTTGAGAGGGACAGGTGCGAATATCACTTACCGATGCTTGAGTTGCAAGGGATATTAGGATCAAGTAGCTCCGGCCCGATTGCGTGGAACTTGAGATACATCAAAGATTAGATC